TTAAAAAAAAAAAAAAATCAGGAAATATATTTCTACTTTGGGTATGGAAAAATTCTTATGCCTAGAACTAACAGATATAAAGCACTGGGGAGAAGAGACGTGATAACGTGAATTTAAAAATATGTATGGCAGGCACCATAAACAAAATAATTAAAAAAACTTCAGCGATATTTCATTTGCTGTAATTGATCAATAGTGGGAATTTCCATGAGATCTTACTTAAAAACCTCTAAAATCTTAATAAAGGACATAAAACCATTTACTGAATCACAAATGACCAAAACAAGTAAGATAATTTTTACCTTTCTCATAATCCAATATTTATCTATACAGTTTTTTCCTTTGGTTCCTGTAAATGTGCAAAAGCTTGAGATACAAAGGTAGGGCAAAAAGAGACACGGTCCCTACCCTCAAGGAACATAAAGCCTAATGTGGAAGACAAAGACTTATACAGATACAAGCAAAATATAATTGTGATAAATGCTAAAAAGACAAGATTATGATCGTATGGGAGTATATAACAGAAAAAAACAAATCAAGACAGACTTCCCTGAGGAAATGTGAAACTCTTTGAGATCAGAAGGAAGATGAGGAATCAACTAGGCAAAGAACAGAAGAACGAGCATTTTATGTAAGGAAACCACATGTACAGGGCCCTGAGATGGAGGGCAAGCCCCACTCAAGGGACATCTGGAATGTGTGTCTTGTGGAACTCTTTTCTCTGCAGTCTTCCAACACCTATCAGAGTGCTTAGGACCCAGGAGATACTAACACATATTTGATGCTGATGGGAAGCAGAGTGGTGTGGTTTGGGTGCAAAGAGTGAGGGGAGGATGCAGTGTGAGGCGAGGTTGGAGAAATAGGTAGGGACTAGTGTGTTCTGAAGCAAGCAAAACTGCAGTCAGCATAGTGATTTAAGCAAGTACGTGACAGAATTTGATCTTTTTGATTGCAATGTGGCTCAAACACTGGAGTTGGGGAAAAGAGCAAAGAGGCATGGCAAGATCTTTCAGTACGATGAATTAAGAGACTGCAGGGATAGTTGAGATGAGAAACGGTGATGGAACATGGACTAGGGTAGTGGCACTACAGATGGAAAGAAGTGGAAACATTCAAGGGATATTTAGAAAGATAAAACCAAGTCTTAGGTGCAGGAGAAGTTGTGTCAAGGATAATATACTATACTTGTGTAACTGGATGGATAGCAGTGCCATTCGCTCAGGGAACAATGGAGGAAGACAGGAAAGGAAAAAGTTATGACTTTGGTTTTAAAGAGCTGGAGTCACCTTTAAGACACCCAAGAGAAATGTCACGTGTCTATAAATTTTTCAATTTGGAGAAGAAGCCTGGGCTGGGGACACAAATTTGTAAGTCACCTACAAGTGTGTGGTAAGTGAAGCTGCAGTTGTGGATGTGATAACCTAGAGAAGAAAAGAGAGTAAGAAAAGAAGACAAAATGAGACGTGTCGAGAAACTCTGAAATTAGAGCTAGAGAAAGAGAAGTCTCCACCAGACTGAGAAAGGCCAGAAAGAGGAGGAAAATAGGATGCACTATAAGAACCTACGAGTGTTTTAAGAGTGAGGAGCAGGTAATGTAAGACAAGGAACAAAAAAATATCCACTGGACTTAGCTACAAGAAAGTCTTCTAAAACCTTAGTAAGGACTGTTTCAGAGGAGATCTGGAATAAGAACTAAACTGGAATGGGGTAAGGAATAGAAGGTGAGGAAATGAGAAAAGTATAAAATATTTTGAGAAGATTGGGTATAAATAGGTGAGAAATAGAGTAATATGTTGAGAGAAAAATTTTTTACATCAGTAATGACCTGAAAATGTTGAAAAACTAATGGGAAGATGAGGCAGAAATGGTAAAAATGTAAGTGAAAGAAGGCAGGGAGAAATGGGGTCCAAAGGAAAAGGGTGGGGGTGGGGGAATTTACCTTAGAAAGGAAGAAATTGAATAATTTGCCTATCAAACCAATAAAGATTTCAGGTAAACAATAGGGTGCTAGACTGATAATAATAAATAGATAATACGTTATTAGTGACAGTATGGATTGGTATAACCTTTCTGTAGACAATACAGCACAATGTAACAAGATTGTTAAATATACTCATGCCCTTTGATGATGAAGTTTCTCTTCTAACAAGGTATATCTTATGTAGATATGCCTGAAAACTTGGCAACGACCTGAATGTCCAACAGCTGAGGGGGAATGGTTAAATGTATTATGATACATGTATATGATGGAATGTTACATGTGAATTAGAAACCACATTTTCACACACTATTTAGTGACACAGGTAATTGCCTATGGTATCATATTAGGTGAGAAGAGCAGAATATAAAGTGACATATCCCTGATGATCCCAATTTTGGAAAAAAACAAATCTTCACAAGCCACAGAGACACATCATCACAAAGAAAAAAAGTCTAAGAAAATAAATCAAAATGTTAATACTGCATAGCTCTGGGGAGTGAGGTAATTGGGTGAGCTCTATTCCTCTTCATACGTTTCTATATGTACTAAAATTTACATTAAGCACACAATAATTGATCATCTCCCACAGACAAAATGTTAATAAGAATAAAGAGATTACATGAAGATAGAAAGTTAGGGCACAAGAAGTTCTATAGTAAACGAAAGAAAAATGGAAAAATGGAAGATTACTAAAGTCACTCTGTATGAAGTTTTCTTTAAAAGAAAGAATATGATTTCATGCTGGGTTGGCTAATGTTTATTTATGTAGTACTAACCACATGCCAGGCACTGTTCTAAGGGTGCTCCCCATATGACTCACTTAAGCCTCACAGGAACGTGGAGGTAAGTACTGTTATTAACTCCATGTTACAGATCAGGAGACTGGCAGGTAGGCTGCTCTGGGCCACACAGCTTTAAAAGCGTCTGTGTTCCTCACCTGCAACATTCTTTTTTTTTTTTTTTTTAAAGATTTCTATTTATTTATTTGAGAGAGAGACAGAGAGTGAGAAACAGCATGAGAGGGGAGAGGGTCAGAGGGAGAAGTAGGCTCCCTGCTGAGCCAGGAGCCCAATGTGGGACTCGATCCCAGGACTCCAGGATCATGACCTGAGCCGAAGGCAGCCGCCCAACTAACTGAGCCACCCAGGCGCCCATCACCTGCAACATTCTTTTGCCTATCCACTGAAGAAAAAGAATCTGTGAACGACTGTTATTAACTCCATGTTACAGATGAGGAGACTAGCAGGTAGGAGGCTCCAGGCCACACAGCTTTAAAAGCGCCTGTGTTCCTCACCTGCAACATTCTTTTGCCTATCCACTGAAGAAAAAGAATCTGTGAACAAAAGGCAATGTGACTTTTTTCCTTCAAAGCTTCGGTGGTTTTGTCGTCGCCTCCCCGACTCTTACTCGAAGGCTGTTAACAGTACACTGTGTGTTTAACAAACAGAAGCTTCTTATGGCTGCCTCATATCTGCCTGGTTCTTACCCAAAACAGATGTGCTTGGGATTTCTTGCTCCACTGTCCATCTTCTTTCCTTACTCTCCAGCTTGGAGATCTCAACTGGCTTGTAAAGTAGATGTTCTGTTCATGGGGAAAATGAAAAAACAACAACAAAGAGACACCTCAGCCATTTTTATAGGAAAGAGATTCCATCCCTCCGTAGTTCTCTAAGAGCTGCTGAAAGATAAGGCCAGCGGTCACCACGGATCTGCGTACATCTAGCTCTCCAACAGAAAGACTTCCACTCAGATACACAGCAGGAAAATCTGCGATCGTGCCCAAAGGATATTAGGAAACCCGAACCCAAGTGCCCTTAACCGCTGAAGTTGTCCTCTAGTTTTTAGCAGCAGGTGAAGAGACCACTGACAGGCAGAGGAGGTAAATACACAGAAGCCACCTTGATGCAATGAATTCAGGTTCCTGTAGTTCTCCAGCATCACATCCCTGTACAGGGTCTTCACAGCAGGGTCCAGTTGTCCCCACTCTTCCTCACTGAATTCCACAATCACATCTTTGAATGTTATTGGTTCCTAAAACATTAAATTTCTTTTTAATCAAAGGTCACTCCCAAAAAGATTACTAGAGGAGAAATGAACCTGGAGAGAATAGGGTAGGTCGTCAGAATATGTAAGAAACTGACAAACGTTTGGGGTTCTAAGTGATGAAAATCAAGTTATACTAGAGGCCTATCAATTTGGCACTCTGTGAGGGCTGCCAAAGGAAAATCAAGTGCAGTCCTAACCCTAAATTAACTTTTATTTTGGTTGAGGGGAAAAAAAAAAAGACAGTTGGAATAATTGTGGAACAAAAAATTACTACAGAGTAAAAGTACCTGACATAAGAGGAGTTCAGAAGAGGAAGAGTTTCAGATAGATTTGAGGGGAATTTGTAATGAAGATAGCTAGCAGGAGACATAGGGCATTTTCTCTAAGAAAGGCAGCCTGCTAACTCATTCCCATTTGGGTCAGGCAGTCCTTTCCTGATTACCCAAAACGAAGTAGCCACCCCCTCATCAGTCTCTACTGCGTTGTTTCTTTCTCTTCTTTGTAATAATTATTACTACCTGCGCTTGTCTGCCTGTGGGCCTGTCTGCATCTACTGGCATCTCCACAGAGGATTTCCTTTCGGTTCCCCTCAGCAGTGCAGGTCAGACACGACATGTTTTTTTTTTTTAAGATTTTATTTATTTATTTGACAGAGACAGAGCCAGTGAGAGCAGGAACACAAGCAGGGGGAATGGGAGAGGGAGAGCAGGCTTCCCGCGGAGCAGGGAGCCCGATGCGGGGCTCGATCCCACGACTCTGGGATCATGACCTGAGCCGAAGGCAGCCACTTAACGAGTGAACCACCCAGGTGCCCACGACATAAGTATTTCTCATGAGGGCCTTCACACCATCACGTGTTGCACTTCCCTCTCTAGCATTCCCAACCTTGTCGTGATGGGCACCTTCAGTCACAATGAAATACACATCTCTCCCCTCCCTCTACCGCAGAGCCAGACAACTCTAAGACATCGGATGACTCTGAGTAAATCATCTACGTTAGTTTTGCCTCCTTCCTCACCTTTTTCCCTCAACCCTCTGCAACCTGGCTTCTATTCCCATGCATGGTAGTATCTCTGTGATGGTTAAGGGAATGGGTAAATTCAGGCTGAATTTTCCTGAATTTTTAAAGGATTTATCCGTGAAATACTCTCATCCTTGGCTTTCAGTGACATGGTATCTTCTTGGTTTTCCTCGACCACTTTGATGCTTTCATTTCAGTATCCTTTGGGGTTTCTTCTGCTCTTGCCTATTCAGTGACGTTACTCAGGATTCTGCCCTTGGCTCCCTTCACTTTTAATTTTAAACATTCTCTGGTGGGCTCTATTTCTATGGCTTTGATTACTGTCTACAACCCTGAGGGAACAGATGCACAGAAAAATACAAAGATGAAGTATTTTCCAAGGAGTGTATCATCAACTAAAATAAAATAGATCCAATGTCCTATGGGAGAAGTAACAGTCTTACGTCCTTAGACGGACCTATACTTAGCAAAAGCTCAAAAGTCGAAAAAGAAAAAGCAGATCATTTCAGTGAAGAGTAGGAATCCTAAATCACCTGAGAATTGCTAGTTAGTGAGTCAGTTTCCATTTTCTCCTTGATGTTCCCCTTCTGGAGGATGACACAATCCTTGCAGGGTATCTCTGAGGAAGATGAAGGAAAACATTAGGGAGACAAGATTTGCCCTGGAGAAACATTTAATGATTATAGTAGTCATTTTAACATGCTATTCATAGGAATCATCTTTAGAGCTTTGGAAAAATAATGATGTCAGGCCCTACCAGCAATCAGAATCTCCAAAGGTGGGGCTCAGATGTTAAAGTTTTTAAAAACTCTAAAAATGGGCACCTGGGTGGCTCAGTTGGTTAAGCGACTGCCTTCGGCTCAGGTCATGATCCTGGAGTCCCAGGATCGAGTCCCACATTGGGCTCCCTGCTCGGGCGAGAGTCTGCTTCTCCCTCTGACCCTCCCCCTCTCATGCTCTCTCTCAAATAAATAAATAAACATAAAAGTAAGAGCTCTAAAAATGATTCTGATATCCTACCAGAAGTTGAATAGTATCGGATCAGGGAGAAGAAGGCCAAAATAGTATTTTGAGGCTTCATCTGTGTCTACAGCAGATTCCAAAAAATAACTTTAATTCTGTCCTAACTAAAGTCTGTAGCTTTGTAGTTAAGTTTTGAAATTGAAAGTATGCATCCTTAAAGTTTGTTCTTCATCAAGGCTGTTTTGGTTATTTGGACTCCTTTGTAACTTCATATGCATTTTAGGATCAGCTTGTCTATTTCTGCAAAAAAAGGTAGCTGGAATTTTGCTATGAATTGCATTTGAACCTGCAGAGCGCTTTAGAGAGTATTATCATCTTAAAAACATTAAGTCATCCAATACATGAACACAGGTTGTCTTTTTAAAATTATTTTTAATGAAAAAAATTGACAGGTAACCCAGTCCCAGGGATCCCAAGGGCTGCTGACGGGCTCTGCAGGCCTCTCGGGGTACTCAAAGGGCAGTAGGTGCGAACTCTGAACTAGTCGTCTTCCATTGGACCTGTGGAGACTGGGGTGGGCAGTTGTAAGTAAATACCTTGTGGCTTTTGCTAGGAAATCTTAAAAAAAAATTCACATCAAAGTGACCCATGTATTTTAAACCCATGTTGTTCAAGGGTCAACTGCATAAGAACAGATCATATGACAGTAAAGATAACTTTACTTCTTCCTTTCCAATTAGGATGCCTTTTATTTCTTTTCCTTGTTTGTTGCACTGGCTAGTACCTCCAGTATAATGTTGAACAGACATAGCCAGAGTGGGCATCCTTGTCTTGTTCCTTATCCTAAGGATAAAGCTTTCAGTCTTTAACCATTAAGTATGATGCTTCCTGTAAGTTTTTCATAGATGCCCTTTATCAGGTAGAAGAAATTCCCTCTATTCCTAGTATATTGAGTGCTTTTATCATGAAAGGGCAATGGATTTTGTCAAATGCTTTTTCTGTATCAAGAGGACCTTGTGTGCACCTGGGTGGCTCAGTCGATTAAGTGTCTACCTTCAGCTCAGGTCATGATCTCAGGGTCCTGGGATAAGAGTCCCGTATCAGGCGCCCTGCTCAGCGAGTAGTCTGCTTCCCCTTCTCCCTCTGCCCCTCTCCTCCACATTCACATTGTTTTAAGCCACTTTGTGGTCATTTGTTATGACAGTAATAGAAAACTAATATAACTAACTACAAATAAGCACCACCTCAACTCCTTCTCTGAAACTGTTCTAAAGCTTAACAATTACTTCATAATCAACAATTTCAGTAAATTACTTTCAATATTCATCTTAATCAGCATTGCTGAACACTCCCTTCTTGAAGATTTCTCTTTTCTTAGCTCAAGATACTAACATTTCTTGGTTCTCCGATGTCCTAGATTATGCTTTTCTAGCCTGCTTACCTGGCTTTTCTTCTTCTGTTTAATCCTTTATTTCTTTTTCAAATAAGGACTAAATACAGCAACAATATCATCACTCTCCCCAGTCAACAATTCCTTGTCAAATATCCAATCAACTGCCTCATGACTTACAAGGTTCACACATTCATGTGATTGGCTATACATCTTTTATGTTTAATTTCTAAATCCCTCGTCCATATCCCCACTTCTCCCTTAAAATTAGTTTGTTTTAGGGCGGTGCCTGGGTGGCTCAGCAGGTTAAATGTCCAACCCTTGATTTCAGCTCAGTGGTGACCTCAGGGTCATGAGATGGAGCCCCACGCTGGGCTCCGTGCTCAGTGCAGAGTCTGCTGGAGATTCTCTGTCCCTCTCTCTCTCTCTCGCTCTCCCGCTCACCCTGCTTGTGCATGCATGCTCTCTCTAAATAAAATCTTTAAAAAAAATAAAATTATTTTGTTTTAGAAACTGGATTATCTTGTAGTTTCCCAGAGTTTAGATTTTACTAATGGCATTCCCATGATATAATTTAACATGTTCCTCCATCCTTTGTATTTCCTGTAATGGGTAGTTAGAGCTATGATAGCCCTTAAGTATTGATGCTCCCTAAGGTATGTATTTCTCCTACTTCTGTTCATACCTATAACTTTCCAAACCCATAGAGATCTCAAATTCAACATGCCACATAATTACTGTATAAATCCCCTCCCATAAAATCCGTTACTTATGCCCATTCATGTATGGCAGAACATGCACATTTACATCAAATCTTATCCCACTCACACCTTATATGCAGTCCATAATTCCTTTAGGTTCAAACTCCTGTTTTCCCAATACTCCCTCATCCTTTAACACCTCACCTATCTTAACTGATTTTCCTGTTTTCAGAGTCCTCAGGTCTATCCTTTAAACAAGATGCTGATAAACTTTTTCTGTGAAGATCCAGATAGTAAATATTATGGGTTTTGCAGGCAATACAGTCTCTGCTACAACTAATCAACTCTGGTCATGGCATGAAAGCAACTGTAGACTAAATGTAAATCAGTGGGCATGGCTGTGTTCCAAAAACACTATCTCCAAAAACATTTGGCCTTTGGGCCATAGTTTGCCAACCACTACTCTATATTGATATCAAAATGATATTTTAGTTTATTTTTTTTTTAAAGATTTTATTTATTTGACAGAGAGAGACACAGTGAGAGAAGGAACACAAGCAGGGGGAGTGGGAGAGGGAGAAACGGGCTTCCTGCTGAGCAGGGAGCCCGATGCGGGGCTTGATCCCAGGACCCTTGGGATCATGACCTGAGCCGAAGGCAGATGCTTAAAGACACCCAGGCGCCCCAAAAATATTTTAAAATGCAAATCAAATCATTTTACTCCCCTACCCATGCTGTGAGATCTCATTCTCTATTTCTATTTCCTACAGAATAAAATCCGTGCTTCCTTAAATAGTAAAGTCCTTCATGTTCTGGCCCTTGACACCCTCTTAGCTTCAGAAAAAGATAATTTCTTTTCTTTTCTTTTTTTTTTATTTTTAAATTTTTTTAAAGATGTTATTTATTTATTTGACAGAGACAGAGCCAGTGAGAG